AGTTTTGGGGAGAGAACTCCAGCCTGGGGGAATGAAGAGTGATGTTCTGTGGGAAGTGGCATTTTACCGGGTCTTGGAGTCTGGGCAGACTGGAAGCACACCAACCGGCAAGAAGGAAGAAGACAGCAGTTGGGGAGCAGGCATATGGAGGTGGGAGGACACACAGCCTGTGCGGGAAACACAAACACAGTAAAGCTTTAACTGTGTACTATGGTGAGGCTTCAGAGAGCTAGGTGTTGGCTGCTAGGGGCCACTGTTTTTAGCGGGCTCCTGGGCTGCTAGGCACACTGCTGGGAGTCAGTCCTTAGTACTGTGATCCGGGCTCTCGTGTTGTTCAGCTGGTCCTGCTGATGCTTCCCCTGCATGCTCACTCCAACAGAGCAGCCAGAAAGCTGGGGGCCTCTAATCCCAATTGCTCTGGAGGCTTAGGCAGAAGGATCAGAAGTTCAAGGCCAGCCTGGGCAGCTTAGTGAGACCCTCTCAAAAAGGCCTGGGGGTGTAGCTCGGTGGTTAAAGTGCTGTCTAGCATTTGTGAGGTCCTGGGCTCGATCCTCAGAAACACAGATACACACAGAAAGAAATGTCTGGGCTTATCTTCAAAGACAATAGCATGCTCCAGGAACACAGAGCCCCGGAGACACAGCGCTCGCTGTGCTGCTCACAGCGTGTCTGCACTGAGGGTCACAATATCCAGCTCAGAGCTCAATCCTTTCTCCTGCTGTTTTCCAAGTGCTTGGGCATCTAGTTCCACACTCATCCTTTTCCTCTCGCTTATCTTCTCCTGACTTTGGAGACCAGTCTTCCTTATCTCGGAAACAAATGGCCTCCATGGAGAGCTAGAAACAGCGAAGTCATTTATCTGTTTGACATGTGTTTCCCTGTTTGTTTTCTCCAGCCTTGAGACAAGAGTTGTGTCAACTGTGGAAGGCTGTGCCCCAGTCACTTGAGAGACATGAATCAATTTCCCAGCTGCATTTATCACTTGTTGCCTTAAATCAGGTCTAATCAATGCTGTCTTCATTTGGTATGAGCTGAAACTATATATAACACACTCAGAAAAGAGGCAAGACATGGAGCGGATCACAAACAAAACCTCCACCGGGGATTTAGATGGAACAATGTGAAGGAAAGATTTGCATCCTTGATTTGCTTTAATGGAGACCCCTGAACAAACAGTCATTTGTGTTTATGAAGCCTAACCTGAATTTTCCTGACAGACAATGACATTACATGATGGATCACTTTATCCGGGGGCTTCTGCATCAAAAGACTTTCTAATTAATATATTCTAAACATTTGGCATATTTTATAGGTTTATCTCTATATTGTTATTACCTAATTCTTCTTTTAGAGCTGTCTTGAAACTACTGAATATAGAAATCAATTTCCAGCTATATCAAATAAAAAATCTCTTTATAATAAAATACAAATGCAGAAGCCCTTCTATTTTAAAATAATTTACAGTCTTAAGACCAAGAAAATGTGACCTTGTCTCTACTCCCTCCAGTCCTTTGTAACAGAATCTGATCCACATAACCACAGTGGACTTTTTATTAGCAGGTGTAAAAACCGCCCCCTGGCCGTCAACCAATTTGGCATGTGGTAGAGAGCAGCCCTGTCTCATAGGTAAATTAATCTTGTGCCAGTGAAAGATGATACCAGCTTAGTTACAGCACCTAAAACCAACCATGCCCACAGCATGGCCCCACATTAGTCTTCAAGGATAATGGGAGAGGAGAGACAGAACATAGAAAAATAGGTCAGTGATAATGTGAACCTAGATGAGGCAGTGCTGTGATTCATTGATATAATTAATATTTCTATCTAATCTGCTGAACTGTGTAGACTTTTAGCAGCAGCCTGTCTCTGAAGCGATTAGCAAGGCTGACTCATTTCGCACTGCTGCTTCCCCCAGCGACCTGTTGGTAGGTAGTTAAACAGAGCCCTGCTCAGCTCTGGAAAGTCAGACAATAATAACCCTATGTTGTTTTAATACTTTCCAGCTTATAAAGGGTTTTGAACACAAAGTCTTCGTGTCAGGCACTGCATAACATTTGGTCAACAGACTGCATGTATGATGGTGGTCCCCTAAGAGTGTATCACCTAGCCACATAAGTATACTCTGTGATGCTGATGCAATCACAGAATCACCTAATGACGCATTTCTCAGAACACATCCCCCTCGTCAAGTGACTTATGACTGTAGTTCTACCCCATTTTCGAGATGAAGGCAAAGGTTTGGGGTCTGGAAGACCCGCTCATGGGCCAGCTACATCTGAGCCAAGCTCTGAGACCCTAGTATGTACTCTCACACTCAAAGCCTGGGTTCTTCCCGCTGAGCGGTGACCAGGTGGCACCGAGCTCTCCTTGTTCTTAGGGCTCTAGTAAAGAAGCACATGTGGTTATAGGAAATCCCTAAAGTTGCCTGGCAGGTTGTCTAACTTAAAAAAATAAAAGCCAGTACCTGTGGATGTGTTTTGGGTTACAGAGGGAGTGTAGAATGGTGTTCTCAGCCCACGTTGGACAAAGACTGGGTAATGTGATAGAAAGCTTTCAGCCCCCCATGAACAAAGAGAGGATAAGAGAGGGTGAAAAGTATACCCTGGACATGCAGTCTGAAGTGCAGACGCTCACAGCGTCTTCAATACTCCTGAGAGCTGTTTCAAAGCCCGTGGCTTTGAGGATATCCAGGGAGGATCACATTTGCTCATTCTTTGAGGAAGGGAATTTTTCTAAGAGAAGTCTTGGTGAAGTAGATTCTGTCAAGACTCCTTAGGACAGAAATTGATGAAAGGAAGAAATTTTCCATGGCTTTAAACTATTAGACAAGAGTGTATTTGCTCAACTTGCTCGATTTTAGTAGAGGTAAATGACTGGAGTAACAGATAATGCTTTTTCAAACTGGCTGCAGGTAATGTATTACTGAGGAGAAATGCATTTTCAATGGTCATAGAAATTTCTGAGTTCTTCAGGGAGCCCGAACAAGGTCTTGAACACGTCGTGACCAAGCTGTTACAGTGTTCAGGAGTTAACATGCATGTCAAATGGCATAGTCACCCCAACGGTCATGTTAATACAAACTGGAATTTATATGAGAAATACAAATCCTTGCAGTCTTTCTAAGCCTCAAGTAAAAGGGATCGTACCCTTTCTTGGAATAAAAAGTACTGCTGAGATTAATGCAGATCAGATTTCATTTCATTTCCTCCCCAGAGCAAATTGGTTCGTCTCATTTGTTCATTCATTCCCCATACATCACGGAGTGCTGAGAATATGGCACTGGTGATCCCATGGTAACAAGATGCAACACAGCCCCACTCCCAAGAGCTTACACTCAGGTGGAAAAATGCACTTCCAGTCAAGATGGAGGAACAGGGACCAGATTTGCTCCCTGGCCTGGCATAACCAAAAAGAAAAAACAGGACCAATACATTAAACAGTGGTTTTCAAGATACTTACCATTCAGTGATGGCAGACTGATCCCGAGAGGTGGGAGGGACAATCTAGGCAGAACCAGTGAACTTTGGAGTCCAAGAGACAGGTGAGGGCTTCAGGAGACCAAGGCAGCTATGACTGCAGGGTGGGAGAGGCTGCTGAGAAGAGAGCTGCCCAGGGAACCCTGGATATCTGGGGTTAGGAAAGGATATACCTCGAGTATTCAAGAGACTGGTTAGTGATGAGGGCTGGGGAAAGGCCCATCTGCCAGGATTAGAGGGCTAGCACTCAGCACTTGTCTTAGTTACTTTTCTCGCTGCTGGGAGATAATACCCAACACCCAAAGTTGAAGGAGAAAGTTTTATTTTGGCTCAGTTTGCAGAGGTTTTGGCCCACAGCTGGCTGGTCCTGAGGCAAGATGGCACGACAGAGGGGCATTACAGAGGAGAAAAAGTTCATGGTGCGCAGAAGGCAGCAAAGTAGCAGCAGGAGACTTAGAAGGAGGTCTTCTGTCACTTTACACTCTATCCAGGCTGTAAACCTACTGACTGGTGTCATGCACAACCAGGGTGGGGCACCCTTAATCTCAGCATCACACACCATACACCCAGACACCTTTGAAACTCCCTACCTATGACTGCATGAAACTTTTGGGGGACACCTAGATACAAGTCACAACGGCACTCACACAAACATTACTTCTATCACCAGACTGGAAAAATTCATCATTCCTTGGGCTTGGGTGGAACACTAGGGAAAATCAATACTGATTAATTCTGGTGTAAAGTAAGCCTGATCTATACCTGCTTAACAAGGACTCACAGGGATCAAACTAGTTCAAGTCACTTAGCTGCACCTCAAAACAAGGGTAAAGGATATTGGTAGGAATACATTATTTAGCACTGAACAAGATAAAATCCAGAGTTTTAAAGATTACCAGGCATGCAAATAATCAGGAAAACATGATTCTTATTGAGGACTTGCATCCAGACTTTATAAAGAACTCTCAAAACTCAAAAATAAAATAACCTATCTTCACCAAAAACCTGGCAGAAGATTCAGACACTTCGAAAAGATATGTGGATGGCAAATAAACGTAAGAAAGATCACTGTAAGTCTTAGGAACATGCAAATCAAAACCACAGTGAGCTACCACTACACACCAGTTAGAATGGTGAAGATGGAAAGACTGACCACACCAAGTGACAAGCATGGGAAAGAACTGGGACTGTCACCTACGGCTGGTGGGATATAACTTGGTACAGCCACAAGGACACTAGTTCTGCAGCTTTTTAAAATGTTTTGTTTTATTGAGACAAAAGAGTCTTACTCCGTACTGCAGGCTGGCCTTGAACTTGCTTATGTAGCCCAGGCTGGCCTTGAACTCAGAGCAATCCTCCTGCCTGAGCCCCCCACCCCAGTGTTGGGATTACAGTTGTGTGCCACACCTGGCCTTGCAGCTTTTTAAAATGTTAAGCATATATATATAACCTACCATGTGGCCCAAGCATTCCGCTTCCAGACATTTACCTTTGAAAAAGGAAAGCACATGTCCACACAAAGACTTGTGCACAAATGTTCGTAACAGCTTTATTTGTAACAGCTCTAACCTGGACATGACACAAATGCCCATCAGCAGGTGAGCGAACAAATCTATTCAATGAAGCAGTATTCAGCAAGGAAGAGAAAAAACAAAACCCTTGGGATGGATCAACCTCAAAATACAGTGAAGTAAGCTTGAACAAAGGAGTACAGATTGCATGAGTCAATCTATATAAAATTCTAGGAAATGCAAACTACAGTATAGGGACAGAAAGCAGCTCAGTGGTTGCCTGGGGGATGCAGGTGGGTGGCCTCTGGCCAGGTGGGAGGGGAGGATAACAAAGGGAGACAAAGAGACCTGGGGACGGAGGGAAGTGCATTACCCTGGCTGCGGTGTGGTTTCACCTGCCACAGTCATACGCCAACACTCATCACATACACATGTCAAGTATGACCACTTTCCTGTAGATCAGGAACACCCCTGTAAAGCTAAAATAAAAATATTAATGAGTTCATACTAACCTCTACAGTCTAGAGATTCTGAGAGAACTGCTATTTTCATCTTTTAAGTATCAGCTGCTCTTGGAAAAAGTACATTAGAACTTTATTTTTCAACTTATTAACAAGGAAACCAAAAGGTACAAACATACCACAGGTATAAACTATAAAACAATGTTATACAAAGAAAAGCACAGAGGGAAAATGAGTTCTAATTCAGCAGATGAAACCACAGCTGATCAAATTCCCTACCACGAACAAAACCATGTGAGTCACTCATTCAGCATCTGTCGCCTCTTCACTGTCCTGCACACGGCTGCGGCTCCCAGCAGGGGCGTCCTCAGGCAGGGACACCTGAAGTGTAGTTCTCAGCTGCTCCTCAAGCTCCTCTATCAGAGGCCCGCGGGCGCCGGGAGCCAGGGCCATGGCCTGAGGCTTTCCCTGGCCGGTGGAGTGTGCGCAGGCCACACCATGCCCCACAAGCAGGGCACTGCTCGCTTGGACAAAGGGGCCTCGCAAAGTCATGGGCGTACACTGGCTCCCGCTGAGCTCCTCGCACTCTGAAGCAGAGTCTTCAGTGCCTGATGATGCAGCGCTGTCTGATTCCGATTCCGATTCCGATTCCGATTCCGATGCCTGTGAGTCACCTGCCTCAGGACCAGAGCCAAGAGTCTGTGTGGACACAGAACAGGCCACTCTCCCGGCAGTTTCCTCCTCCTGGACAAGACGGGCTGCTGCTTCCAGCTCTTCCAACTCTAACCCCAGCTGGGCCTTCGTCAGGGAGGCTTCTTTTAAGGCTCTGGCAAGAGTGCTCAGTTTTTTAGACCTTGAAAATGATTTTAAGAAGAAATATTAGTACTGTTCATTAATTAGTCTGAGAGCAACAGAGTAGAGAGTTAAAAAAAAAACAACAACAACAACTGAATCTATACTTCAAATGCACACCAGGTTAAATTTCCCCCCAAAATCAAACATATGTATGTTTTTAAAAATGACTATTAAAGCATGTTAAGCAACATACCTAGGAGATTTTCTTTATGATCTTAGCATGAGGAAGACCTGTCTATGGCTCAAAATCCAGAAGTTGCAAAAGAAAAGTTTAATAAATTCAACAAAATAAAAATCGACAACTTTTGCACGGAAAAAAGAAAACCATCAGAAGTAAGGTCAAAAGGCCAATACAAAATCAGCAAAAACATTTAGAATTTGTATCACAGGCCATGGTTTAGTTCCCCTGACAGAATTCCTAGAAATTGATATAATGGTCTAATAGAAAAATGAACAAGTGATATGAGCAGATAGCTGTCACAACAGGAAACACAAATGATGTATTTTAAATATATGATGTTCAACTTCACATAAGGGAAATACAGAGCCAGGCATGGTGGCCCACGCCTGTAATCCTAGCACTCAGGAGGCTGAGGCAGGACTGTTGTGAGTTTGAGGCCAGTCTGTACTACACAGAGTTCAAAGCCAGCCTAAACTATATAGTGAAACCCTGTCTCAAAACACCAGAAACTAAAAGAGAGAGAAATATTATTAAAGTCATTGGGACAGACTTTTCATTGGTCAGATTTGCATCCATCCGAACATTTGATCCATTCTGTTACAAGGCTGTGAGGCAAAAGGTGCTTACGGAGCTTTCTTGTGCTGCTGGAGAGAGACGACATCACCACAACTCCCGCAACAGAGAACTTGGTAATATCTTTCAGAATTGAAAATGTGTGGGTCATTGCCCAGCACAGGCATGTCTGGAAATCAAAGGCATGCAGCATATATGCCACGTGGCGTGGGTCTGAGGTTAAGTAAGTGACGTTGTTTCTAATACCCCCAAGTGGGAGACAATCAAAGGCCCCTGATAGGACTGGTTAAGTAAGTCGTGGCAAGTCCATACAAAAGAAGGCCTTCAAGTGAGCAGGGACTGTCGCTTTCCATGGACCAATCCAATCCAGAGCATGTGTCAATAACAACAAAGGCACACCATGCGTACCCGCTACCTCCCCTACACAGAGTATTTTTTAAAAAGGACAGACACAGAAGCATATTTGCCTTTCTGATATATGTATCTGCTAAGGCTTATATCTAGATGCACCATAGGTGAGCTTTCCAGACCTGGCTGGATCTAAGGTGTGTGGTACTAAGTTAGTCCACTGATTGGTTTAGCACAGTTCTGGGTATAGCTAATAGAACCCCACCCTGGCTGGGGTTGGTACCAATCAATAGGTTGATAGCCTAGATGGAATTTAAAGGCAAAAGAAGGAAGGGAGGTTTGCTGCTTGCTGCCTCCTGCCTGCTTTGCCGTGAACTGTTTCTCCTCAGTGATGCCCCTCTGCCATGCCCCCTGCCTCGGAGCCAGCGGACAGCTATGAACTGAATACGCCACAAACAGTGAGCTAAGTAAAACTGTCCTGCTTTACTTGTGGGTGTCAGGTAATTTGTCTCAGCAACAAAAAAAATGACTAAGACATATCAATAAATGCTGGAAAATGACAGAAAACAGTAGCTTATGTGGTGGGAGGGTAGGCCTAGAAAGACAGAAAATGACAGAGGAGCTTTATCATTACACATTGTTGTTTTTTTGTTGTTGTTTTTTGTGTGTGGTCCTGGGGACTGAACTAAGGTCATCTGCACTGAGCTACATCCCAAGTCCTTTTTTTTTTTTTTTTTTTTTTTTTGGGACAGGGTCTCATTGAGTGGCTAAGTGGATGGACTTGAACTTCCTGTCTTCCTGCCTCAGCCTCCCAGAGTGCTGGGATTACAGATGAGCACCACCAAGCCCAACTATATACTGTTTTCTTAACCACATGTAAATGTAGTATCTGCTCAGTATTTTAAAATGTACAAACAGAAAACCAAACAAACAAAAGCTGTACCAGAAATCATTATAGAACGCTTCAGAGGACATTTTTCTCTAACTTATCTGCTAAACTTGTAATATTACATTAGACACGTAAACTATTTCATTGACTTGGATACACTGAGTTGTTCGTGTTCCAAAAGAACCAACCTAATCCAGATTGCACTTCTCCAAAGACTGACCTTTTACTATGCTAAAGAGGAAAACCAGATGTGAAAAAGAAAAACGTAACAGTTAATGAAAATATAAACATGCTGACAAGGTTTCACGCTCCCCTAAGTCCAAAAATTAAATGACTGGACAAAACATTGAGTGGCTTTGAGAAGGACTGGATAAGGGTGTGCTCACAAGATAAATTCACTAGCAACAGCGGAGGCCACCTCCTCATACCGAAGAGCCCGGCTTCACCTCGGCGGGGTTGACCTGAACGGATGCTGCAGTGAACACTGAAGGTGCTCTTTGCCACCTGCGTGCCTGCCTGCATCCGAGATCCTGGCTTTGTAAATGGCTAAGGCTGAGCTGTGCCGGGAGGCGCCGCCTTTCCCTACCGCCCCTTCCCCATGGAATGAGGACACAGAAGCACCCCTGGTGACCTAGAATGGAAGACAGGCAGAGCTGAGTGAGTGGCACAAAGACAGTACCAGTGTTGACGGGCAGCTTTCTCTTATGCCAGTAAAGCTGTGGGTGCCAGTGCTGGCATTTCAGGAAGCTTAGGAAAGGGGAGGTGGTTTGGTAATAAGCATCGGGTTAAATAACCCTTAGTTGCTGCAGGGTGATGAGGCCCACCATCTCCCAAGTGAGGGGACGCGAAGGATTAAATAAATGAGACAAGGGAAATGATTTCAGGGCTCCAGGAGGGACTAACTCTCTACAGTTTCAATATTCTCTGAGTTTAGCCAAAGACTTCTCTGGGCGGCCCGTATTTATTTGGTTTACAAACAAAGGAGGGGGATACTTAAGAAAACGTGGGAATCTGGGCAGGCCTTTTCCAAGTAATATATTATGTTAATTTAGGAGAACTATATTATCTCCAGGAAGGCCTTCACAGAAGCAGGAGTGAGATGCCTGCAGCTGCAGTCTCCTTGTAGTTAATTGGGGTTAGAGCCAAACATCCTCAGCTGTGGCCTTTTCTTGTCCCTTGAAGCATCACAGCTTCAGAGGCCAATACAGGCCTCAGGGTGACCAGGGACTCACGGAGGTTTACTGACTATGAGTCTACTGCCCATCTTCAGACAAGGTGCCTAAGCTTCAGACAACTCACAAGTAAACACGGAAAGCCAATTGGTCAATATTAAATCCAGCTCAGAGCCACTTTGTGGGGGTCTCCAACAGACGAGGAGAACAAGGTAAGATCAGGGGGAGTCCAGTAGCGATTCCCCACGGGCATAAATGCTGGCTGAACTTCTGCCGGTCTGAGGCATTTTAAAAGTACATATAATTAGAGTAAGAATACAACACAATTTGCATCCATGTTTGTGATTACTGTAGGTGATATCCATTTATTCTGAAATTTAAACTACCAGTGGTCAGTCAGAGATGGAGAATAAGTTTAAAACATCCCCCGCCCAAGGCCTAGCCAGCCTAGGAACTGATTTCCTGCCACACTTCTGACGGGCATGCTCTCTGGGGAGAGACACGCAGCTCTAATGGATAAAGAATGACAAGCCTCAGAAAGAGAATTGTGTCTCTTATTAAACTACATTAAAAATAAGGAAGTAAAAGCTTTTACTTGTGACTACATATCCCATTTTTAATAGTCGTATTTCCAACAGCACACAAAAGATGATGTAAGAATCTTGACTGGATCTGGAATGTGCCCCCAAAGGCCTGTTTGTTGAACACTTGGGAAACGGTGGGACTTCCAGGAGATGGGGCCTTAGGGAAGGGCAATGCGATGTGCCCTGAAAGGGGACGCTGGGGTCCTATGTCCTCCCTCCCTCTCTATGTCTCTGTCCCTCCTTCTGGGAACCAAGAGGGCAACAGGCACCTCCAGCCACACAGTCCCACCATGATGTCTATACTGCTACAGGCACAAAGTAACAGATCCAGGTGGCCATGGGCGTTGAGCCAAAAACCCTGTCCTGCTTAATTTGGAGGTGATTATTTCAGGAGTTGTACTACAGTGATGGAAAGCTGACCAAGACAGTGTTCCACAAGCATCATGGTGCTTGTTCATGGTGCTGATGAATCGGTTTCAGTATTCTCCCTATGTTACTGGTGAAAAAACAGAAGCTGAGGGAGAGGGCGGGAGGTGAAAGTGCTGCTGCAGGTCCCCAGCTAACCATGGCAACACAAACCATAGGACTTCAGCTCGTCCTCCTCTACCACAGGGCCTCCCACGACACCCAGGCTCAGGAAAGTTCTGTTTCATGGGCCACAGTCTTTATTTCTCCCCAACTTGAGCTTCACTCAGTGTTTTCCAAATGAGCAAGTTCTGACTTACACAAGACGCAGAAGTCTCGAAAGACACTACGACTAACACCTTTAGCATAGCAACATTAAAGATAGTTTTAACTACAGAGGAAACATTTGAATTATTTTTGTGAGTATTGGGCTGGTGGTATGGCTTGGTGGTAGAGCACTTGTTAAGCATATGTGAAGCCCTGGTTCAATACTCAGCAACACACACACACACACACACAATGTATTTTTGATAAAATTACTGATATAGATTCTTTAATCCTCAAGTTGGAAATATTTGGATTCTGTTACCGTCTACTGTATAAATGCTGCATCCTAACTGTCTTTGGTAATTGCACAACTGTAGAACTTCAAAGGTCCTCATCTATAATCCTGGCTCTTTGCAGAAAGCAAATCCACAAATGGTGGGGCTAAAAGGTGTCAACTGAAATGGGCAGGAAAGCACCAATGACGATTCCTGTGACCCAAACTGGAACATGTACCCGTAATCAGCTGATGTGAAAGTCTAGACTTCGGCAAAAAGTTTCTCACCTTCAGCATTACGTTAC